CCATTGTGAGATTATTACTTGTTTGATCACGGACCGTGATTCACGAAAATGTAGGAACGACGAGGAGAGGAAGGGGAGGTTGATGCCGCTGCCATGAGAGCTAGGAGAGATGAGGTTCGAGACGCAAAGAGAGCGGAGGAAGGCAATAAAGGTGGTGGTGATGCGTCGATATCGACGCGCAGCGTACATGTACCGGGAATCTACGCTCGCCTGGACGATCTAAGAGGGGAAGAGCTGCAGTTGCTGGCAAATCGCTGCAAAAAGTCTGATGCTCTAAGCCTGAGTCAGATGCAGCTGAATCCCATCGGGAAATATCATACTCGGTTCATCAAGGACGCGTATCCGATCGCTGGCTCGCAGCTGAAGCTCGAGAAGGAACGCGAGATGGAGATCGCTGCCAAGAGAAAATTGCTGCTTGCCGGTGCATTGTCGATTGGGAGGAAGTCGCTTAGCTCTGTGGAGATGGACGGCGGTGTTCTTGGCGTGGGCTTGGAACGTGCCCATGGACGCTCGAAGCTGGAACAATATTTTGGTCAACTCAGGACATCATTGACAAGCAAGCAGGATAAAGTGCGACAAACTGAAGATGAACGGCAGATTCGACTGTGTGAGGTGCAACACCGAGAAGGAATGGAGCAGTTTTGGAGGTTGATGCATGCAGCTCCGAAATGGTAAACGATGTTTACGGCTTCTATTTTTTTTTTTACTGAAAACTCACGATCCAGATGATTAACAGTGAAGTGATAGCATGGCTTACATTCCATTCCTTCTTGGATGTGAATATCCCTGTGAGCTTCGTTTCCAGTGGCAGCGCCAACGAGATTGTTGTTCGTGAAGACAGAACTTTGGGCGTCACTCCGCTTATGGCTGCATGCCGTTCATTGTGTGTTGAGCTTGTGCGCTGTCTACTGGAACAAGGAGCAGTAGTGTGGCTTGCTACGGCAAACGGTGACACTGCACTCCATTTCCTATGGAGAGATTGGTTACTAGGAGCTACGGATACGATGAAAGATGTCGCTGAGCTGCTGTTACGAACTCAACGTCTTCAAGACATTATTGCTGCTCTAATAGCCCAAGGAATTGATATCAATGCCACGGTAAATGCCATGTAGGTATCATTGCGCTGTATCATCTCACGTATTATTTCGCGTCGCATTTTCACTAGAACGCATTTGGAGAGACCGCGTTGCAATTTTGCGCTCGCTATGGTCTACGTGACTGCGCGAAATTACTCCTTGAGCATGGCGCCGATGCATTCTCACGCGACCGAAAGGGACACTCCGCTGTAGATTACGCTCGCGACAATCACTATGAGAGTCTTTATCAGTTGCTCCTCCACTACAACTCAATCAAGCGAGTTGATGCCAGAGAGAAGGAGCGAACAGAAGCAAATACGCTGCTTAATCGGAAACGTGGAGCATTGACGGCCAGTTGGTCTCAAACACGTAAGTACATCGTAGTACTGTATCATACTTGAAGGCGTTCTCACACGTCTCAACTGCACTCGCATGCTGACTTTGTGCATGTGAGTAGCAGAGAGTTTCTTCACCAAACTCAAGGTGGAACAGGCGCGTGCGGGACATCTACGAAACCAGTTCGTTGACTGTAGAGGCCAAGTGATCGTATGTACGGACGAAGACGAGTAGCTCGGATACAACTTGGTATAAAAATCGTCTAAATTGTGTTATTTAGCTGCTTCAGAATCCTACAATTCCTCAAGGCGTGCTTACTTCTTGGCCAAAGATTCACGCACAGCCTGCTCCTGCATAGCGCTAGCTCCACGCTCCTGGAATTGCTCCAGACTGGTATTCATGGCTTCGAAAGCTGCCTCAACTGCTGCCTCATCGCCACCTTCCAGAGCCTTCGTGAAGGCAGCAGCCTGCGGCGGACAGATAATACGACCCATGCAAAGTTGGAGAGCCATCGCTGCCTGCGAGCACTGCATTTCGTTACTGCAAGTCCTGACCTCCTGCATGCAGCCCTTGCACGTGTCCTTGACCTTGGCGAACGTCTGTTCGACCTCCTCCACTGAAAGCGGCTCCGGAGCATCCTTGTCCTGTTGCGTACGCTCAACCAAAGCGGAACGAGCAGTAAGATCGGGGCCCTTCAGTCCATTGACGAAGCCCATGACAGGGAACTTAATTCTGTCGACCAGAGCGCCCACGGAGTCCACAGCAGGCCGAGCGTACATGGAGATACTCTTGACTTTGTTCTCAGAGTGCAGCTCAGGCACTTCGTCTTGAACGGACTTCTCGTCGTCGAAGTAGTAGTCAATGACGTAGCGCACCTGTGTGTTGTCGCTGCGCAGCACAGTCCAGTCGTGGCGGTCGAAGGGCTCGCCGTATCCGAGCATGCTCTTGATCCACGCAATGGGCGTGAGCTTGTCCGGACGGCCGCAGAACTTGAGCAGTTTGGAGCTCTCGAGCTCCGGGTGGCACACCTTCTCATAGTGCTCCACCTGCGCCCAGGCGCGCTCGTTCATGTTGTTGTGGATGGACACAATGGCCTTCACGTCACCTTCGTGCACATCTTCGCCCTTACCCTTGCGCTTAAGAGCGTTGAAGAACATTTGTTCGGACGGGTACAGCCACGTGCCTTCGGTTCCGCCCTTGGGGATCGTGGACTGCACGCGGTCCTGTGGAAGCGGATAGCGCTGCTCGGCGTTGGGGTCCTGGTTCGGGTTATACGGCATCATATTCGTTGGGTCAATGCGCTGGCCGTAAACATTGTAGATTTCCTTCTCCTCCTTGCCGTCCTTGACCACCGGACATCCACCGGACATGGCGTCGGTCATTGCCGGCTTCTTATTGTGCTGCACGGGACAGCCCTCAATCTTCTTGGCATTGTCATGCTGGACAGGGCATCCCTCCGGCGCCTTCTTAGCATCATGCTGCACTGGACAGCCGCCTTGCTGACTAGCAGAAGCATCAGTTGCCGCGGGTGTGCTCACTTGGTTGCCCATGTTGACTGTGTCTTACAAAGTGAGCTTTACTGGACGCTGGTCATGAACGAGCGGCTGGCATATCGCTCACTTTGTTCGGTGGTGCAGCGTTAGCGCCACCATCTGCACATCAATGGCTGTTGGCACCAAAAAAAGCAAGAAACTGCGTTTTGGAATACCGTACTTACTTGCGCATATGAACTTAACGAGCAATCTCCAGTTACAATATCCAAGATGCGGAGTATTGCTCGAGAGTAATTCTGTGTAGCATAGCTCAATAAGTATTTTCCATGTTCACTTCGGTTGGTTGGCCTGTGAAAGCCCTGGTAGAGCGTTGGTGGTGGGAGCTTGGAGCCGCCAAGTACCAAGTCAATTCCATTGTCCTTATTGTCTTGTGAGGTACGAAAGCGGATTCGTTCGCGCTCTTTTGTCTGTGGCGGCTGGTGATGGAACTCGCGGCTGCAATAGCTTTCGTTGTATAGTGTAGACGCGTAGCTGTCCAATGATACCCGAACCAGCCGCTATTCCGCTGCAATTTAAGCGATCAAGACTGATGAACTCGATTGTGCTATTACAGATTCCAACATGAAACTCAACATTGCCAACCCCCTCACGGGTGCCCAGAAGGTGCTCGAAGTCGATGACGAGCACAAGCTCCGCGCTTTCTACGATAAGCGCATCTCCCAGGAGGTGGAGGGCGACGTGCTCGGCGACGAGTTCAAGGGCTTCATCTTCCGCGTGTCCGGCGGTAACGACAAGCAGGGTTTCCCCATGAAGCAGGGTGTCCTGTCCAACGGCCGTGCCCGTCTTCTGCTCTCCAAGGGCAAGTCGTGCTACCGTCCTCGCCGCAAGGGTGAGCGCAAGCGCAAGTCGGTGCGCGGCTGCATCGTCGGCCCGGACCTTTCGGT